ATTGTACTAAGCAATCTATAAGCTAGTTAGACACGATAGTTTGGTACACTCTAGTCTCATTCTGACTACAGAAAACTGTCATTGTACCAAGTAATCAGCTAGCTAGTTAGACACAATAGTTTGGTATACTCTAGTCTCATTCAGACTACAGAAAATTATCATTGTACTAAGCAATCTGCTAGCTAGTTAGACACGATAGTTTGGTATACTTTAGTCTCATTAAGACTACAGAAAACTATCATTGTACTAAGCAATCTGCTAGCTAGTTAGACATGATAGATGGTATGATCTAGTCTCATTCTTACCACAGAAAACTATCATTGTACAAAGCAATCTGATAGCTAGTTAGAAACGATAGTTTGGTGTACTCTAGTCTCATTCAGACTACAGAAAACTATCATTGTACTAAGCAATCTGCTAGCTAGTTGGACACGATATAGCATTATACTTGATAGTTTCGGCTTACAGATGCTCCTTGATCTACAGATAGGAGAATGTTGAAGGTTTGAAGGCCTAGTGACGTTTATATAATATCAATATAGGTGGAGGGACTGTTCCTGCCACCCCTACCTGTAGAAATCCACTGTGAAGACCATGTGTTCAGTGATATATAATAAAAGGTGATATATAATAAAGATATCCAATGTATATATAATGTACCAACTAGACCGTGAAACCATAGGTTTTAATTTGATATCTCTCATATACCTTATTATATTTTAATATAATTAATTTATAATTTATATTTATTGTCACTATAACACTTATGACTTGTTTTAAACTCTTTTGGACCCCCCCCCCCCTTTTCCATACCTTCAACACATTATTTATAATCCTATTTATAATGAACATAATTGTATTGTCCGACCTTGCCAAAATGATCAAATGTTCCAACCTTTGGTCTTTTGGTTCTGCCGATGGACAAGGGGCAACAAATGGTGACAAGCTGAGGGAGTGGGACGAGTGGAACGACTAAGAAGCTAGGGTTATATGTTCTAGCATTTAACCATGTAATACGTTCTGGAAGTATAGGTTTGGTTTTCTAGAATGATTATGTTCCCTATATATTTTTAAAAGCCCAATAAACCTTGCTATAAATAAACTTCCTTTTCTAGCCTTAAAGATTATCATTTGCTTTATAAATATTTAAATATACCAATCTTTGTTGGTATTCTAGCCTTCGAATGCATAACGATAATTATGTTCCTTGTTCAGTTTTGAACTTGCTATTAATCTTTGTATTCTCTTATTTTGCCTTTATATGAATAACGATTATTGTGTTGCCGATTACAGGTTTAAATATACCTTTATATATAGTTTTTAACCTTGCTATTAAACTGTATTGGTGTTCTGGCCTTCGAATGCAAAAAGATTATTGTATTCCCGATACAAGTTTAAATATACCTTCATATAGATTTTCTAGACTTTTACAATATCGATAATTGTGTTCCTTATACAGTTTTTAACCTTGATATTAATCTGTGTTGGTGTTCTAGCTTTTATATGAATAACGATTATTGTGTTCCCGATACAAGTTTAAATATACCTACATATAGGTTTTCTAAACTTTTACAATATCGATAATTGTGTTCCCGATACAAGTTTGTAAATACCTCTTTGTTGGTTTTCTACCCTTTAAATGTATAACGATAATTTATTCACGATAGTTTTATATATATCTTTATTTAGCTTTTACATGCATAACACTAATGATGTTCCGGGGTACAAGTTTGTCTCAGATGATTAATGAATGACATTCCGTGACATGAATAACTGATATTTTAAATTGTAATAATTGTATATAGTCATTAAAGACGAATGTAAAGATTTTTAATGAATGAAATGAAATGTAACTTTATTTCATACTGTACTGTATCTTATTAGACTAATGAAATGAAGCTTTATTTCAAACTGTACTGTATCTTATTAGACTAATGAAATGAAGCTTTATTTCAAACTGTACTGTATCTTATTAGACTAATGAAATGAAGCTTTATTTCAAACTGTACTGTATCTTATTAGACTAATGAAATGTAGCTTTATTTCAAACTGTACTGTATCTTATTAGACTAATGAAATGTAGCTTTATTTCAAACTGTACTGTATCTTATTAGACTAATGAAATGTAGCTTTATTTCAAACTGTACTGTATCTTATTAGACTAATGAAATGAAGCTTTATTTCAAACTGTACTGTATCTTATTAGACTAATGAAATGTAGCTTTATTTCAAACTGTACTGTATCTTATTAGACTAATGAAATGTAGCTTTATTTCAAATTGCACTGTATCTTATTAGACTAATGAAATGAAATTGGATTTTACGTCCTACACTTGTCCTATACCAGAATGGGTGTAACGGGGGCCAACAAGGCAGTGGCATTAGAGGACGCATTTTTTTTATTTCCATCTGTCGAAGGATCTTTAACTCTAAAGTTTTAAAGTTTGTAGAAAATAGATACCTGTATTAGCGACACAATGATACCTTGTAAGTTGTATTCTATCATATTACCCAAGTTCTTGTGCGATCCAGCGGGCGTAAAACTCTATTATATCCCAGCAGGTTATATGACAATGATATTATCAGAACAGTAATGTTTTGTGTTGAAATGAGATGAAGTATATAAGAGGTATTATACAGGCGTGGGTATATCAACATACTTTATCAAAATAACTCTAGGATAATTCTATTTAAGAAACGTCCCTTTTACATTTCAATCTTATTCGTGATATTAAAATAACCCTAAAAATTCAGATCTCTGTGAAAGTGGGAGGTTACCTATTAAACATGCATTACACACCATTCTTGTTAACAAATTCTTTATAATCCTTTTTCACTAAATTATTCTGTTAAAGGGATTGCCTTTATGTATATTGAGTTTTAAATTCTCTTTATGTGAACTACAAGTACATTATACAGTTTGGCTCATGACGTATACTGGCGACTCAAAACTGGATTAGTAATTGTTGGTATTAGCAAAACGCCCTTATTGCAAATTACCAACAACTGTGGTCAACTGGATGGTCGTTCATTCCGACCACTAGACTTTTTTACCAAAAGGTACATCATTAGCAATTGAAAGCAACAAGTAAAAACTGCTGATATAGTCGTCGTCTAAATCCAGCGATTGATCCAGTCGAAATGTTATCTCCACAAATGTTACAGCGCTCCTTCCTCCTTCTAGTTTGGGGAATGGATAATGATATAGGCGCACTGAAATTAAAACATAAACTCAATATTGAGAGTTATATAACTATTCCACGTGATGTAAAGTTTATTTGATCTGTGGACTTATTGACCTGTAACTCTGTATGGCTGGCTGGTACATGGTGGTCCGGAAAGGCAGAACCTTGTATATGATCAATATAACGTTTTAAAGTGGTAATGAATACCGAATGCTGACCAAACTTTGACACAAATTGAAGAATATTCAAGAAATATCGTATCTGTATTGTTTTTTTTAAAATCGGTTAGTTTTGATTTGAGTGAACTATTGCTTGGTGTATTTAATAAACACGGGGTAGGGAAGCCTTTCGTGAAAACTGTTTTAAAAAGCGGACAACTGAACAAAGGGTATGATGACTAAGTTTATTGTATGTAGTGGCCTGACATCATACCAATAGGAAGTTTTCAAGTAGACTTAATGTTGTTTGAAGTTCAATTGTTTAATGAAGTAAAATCGAGGCGAGGGAATCAGGTCAATTTGACTCGGAATTTGGAGGTTTGGAGTATTACCTCCCCCCAATCTTCTCATAGAAACTCTGTCATGGTGCCGGGAACAATCTACTTATGTCTCTCCGTTCCGTACTGTATTGAACTTGATATCCTTCTTTTTTGACTTATTGAACTAATAAAATGTAGTTTTACATCCTACTGTTATGTTTCCCATGGGACTTTTTGTTCTATATCTTTTTGGACTATTGACTAATTTTACGGCTTTCTGTTGTACCATCCTGATCTAATGAAAAGAAATTTAATGCTGAAAAGAAACAAAAATGGTATTTAATTTTTTTTTCAGAAATATTTAAATAGTTATGGATATTCGACTAAATCTGGTTTAACAGAATCATTAAAGTAAGTTTTGCATTTTTTAAATCTTTTCGAATTCCGATGATGCAAAACCGGATTTACTGTATCCTCTGAACGGATGTGATTTGAATCCTGTCATCCGGTGATGACAAACTAAAACTTCTATTGCATCCTTGTTAAAGGAATATATTCGCCATTTACGAGGATTGATTTTAGGCCAAAAATGTATACAAATCGTAATTTCACTTTTTTGAAGAATATAAAGTGGGGGAAGGGAGAGGGAGGAGGAAGGGTGAGTAGATTGGAGGAACAGATCATTTATGTAGGGAGCACCACTTGGATTAAAAAACTATTAAATATTTATTAAAAAAATGTCCTAAAATTTTAGAATGTTCCAGAGAGTGAACGGTTTAACTATGACGGGTAAAGTAAACGAGGAGACGCTGTCGCTGATAGAAACACCACGATGTGGCCAAGCTGACAGAAACCTTGTAGAACAAATTACACCTTTTACTAAAACATCTTCTGGTCTTCCACGACCAGCTCAATATAAATTATTTGGTAAGATATTTATTATAAAGAATTGAAATGGAGTTATATGTTTTTTGATAGTTTGGTTACAAAAATAAATGGGTCTGATAAACTGGTGAATAATTGCATCAAGATTGAGCCACAATCTGAACAGATGAATAGTTCAGTTTATCTTTACAAGAAACTCTTGTAGCGAAGTTTGCTTTTATAATTAGGTAGTACTGTAGAGAAGTTTGTGTGGACTATAATGTAGTTTTCTGGGCATACGTGTTTGCTTGAAAACAGACTGGAATCGTATTGTTGTTCCCAGTAATAGTAACAGTAATGGAATGTTCCAGCTGTAGTGTTTGATAAGCACCTTATAGTGGACTGGTCGTATGTAGGATTTGGATTAAATACCGATTTGCAAAACTTTTGCTTGACTATGTTTATTATTTGTTATGTATATCTTTACAGCAACTGGTAATAAATGGACCAAGAACAATATCAACTGGTACGTCACTAAATATACTAATCAACTGTCACAGGACGACCAGAGGTAACATCATTTTACTTAATTACAAGCTTTCATATGAGTACGACTTCCTATGACTGCGACTTCCTATCGTGTCGAGTATGGGCTTCAGAATTCAAGGGGGGGGGGGGGATATTATTTATCATTTTGGGCAATTTTTGCCCTATGTTAGTGTGTGACAGTGTGTGAGTTGGAGGGCGGGGGGATTAACTCGGGGAATCTCCTTTCCTATCCACCACTAGAAACGCCACTGCATAGGCACTTTGCGAGCGCGAAGACTCAATCATTGAAGGTTTATTACCCCTCGTGGTCTTATACGAAGACGTTGTATGTGCTGAGGACACTGAACCAGTCGTCAGTGACACTGATAATAATCATATATATTGCAGGAGGTCGTTTAGAAAAGCGTTAAAGAAATGGGCCGATGTGTCATCATTGGAATTTACAGAACGAAGAGAAGAAGTTGATATTGAGATAAAATTTGTGACGAGAGATCACGGTGATAATAGTTCTTTTGATGGTCCCAGTCAGGGTACAAGAGGTAAGGGGAATTCCCCAATTTTAAAGGAGATATAATCATGCACCCCTGAGCCCTCATGTAGCATCACGGTACCAGGGGTACGGGTATTTCCCAATCTAATCACAATGACAATTTCTATCCCTTTTTTTCTGAAAGTGTTCGTCAAAAAGTTAATGAATTGTATTAATAGTCTATGGAAATAGAATGTGCAATTCTGTTTCATTCCCCTTTCATTTCGGCCATTCATTTGAACAATCAGCTAGAGACGTCAACCCAATTTAATTTCGTTTTCAGGTACAATCTTGGCTCATGCGTTTGCTCCAGGACGAGTTGCTCTGGCTGGTGACGCTCATTTTGACGACGACGAACAGTGGACAGCCGACGTCGATAATGAGGACAAAAATAAGAAATTTTTGGAATTGATCGCAGCTCATGAGTTTGGTCATGCTCTGGGTTTGGAGCATTCCTTTGACTCTCGTGCCCTGATGAGTGCCTATTATGTCAACTCACAGAGAGAATATGAGTTAGCTCAAGATGATATTAATGGAATACAGTTTCTTTACGGTAAGTTAAACACAAGTTCTATGGTCGGCATCACTATTATTACTGTGATGTCGCCCATTGAATCTAATGTTTTACATACAATAAACACAGCTGTAAATGCGTACAGATAATCCGGGACAGATCAATGCCAAGAGGTCTGTCCAAGGACCAGCAACCGTCGAAAGGATTCTCGAGATCTTAAGTTGTTATCCTTATCCTTATCTTGCTTTTACCAAGGATAAGCTGGTAGAGAGGATCCTCCAAAACTGATACTAAACCAAAAATTTTGATTCGTGCTTTTCTTTCCGATCCCTTGTCTAGCTGGCTGCTAAACTGATGCTGTTTCAGATCTATTGAATTTAGATTACTGATTGACAGGCATGACTTCTGTATTGTTTTAATTATTCTATTATAGGACCACCCAATGGTTGGAAGGGGATCACCACCCCCAAACCTACCACCCCTCCACCAATTCCTGTCTGTCATAATTTATTTAAAGCTGTCGTGTGGGGTAAGTCATAGTTCTATTCAGATTGGTGGGAAGGAATGTAAAAGGCAGATGTTCTAGAAGAGAGTAAATGCTCTGTGACCAATGGACTGTACATACCGAGATAGCATCACAAGAACCAAGTTGTTGTATATGTACTGGTACCACAATTAGTTGATAAATCGAAGTCCAAATCTCAAGCAGAAAACAGAAAAACCACATTCAAATTGCAATCTATCAGTCAAAGTCGACATATATACCTATCCACTTTCAATTTTTTTTTATAAATTTACATAGTGAATGCATGGTCTGTGGCCCCCATTGAAAATTTTGTGGCCCTTGCTTGGCCTCATCAACTATTTCTTCCTAGAAACGCCATTGCTATTGAAATAATCTGAGCTTCTTCAGGACTAACTGACTAACATGGCGTTTCTCCAATCAACAGCAAGCTACACAAACAACATATCAAAGAATTGGTTTGAAGACAAAAATAATGAAAACCGCTATTTTGTTGTTTCAGGTCCTGACAGAAGAACGTATGGTATTTATAATGATAAGGTGATAGAATTAGCAGACGAACAATTCGTTGTTTCCTTTCCCAGATCTCTACAAGCAATCTTCCCGGATTCTCCGATTGGTGTGGATTTTGCCACGACATTGCCTGATGCCTCTACAACGTATATGTTTAGAGGTTTGTTTTCACTTTTCTTTTATTGTCGCTTTGGATCATAATCGTTAAAACTGAGCCCCCTTGGATAGATTGGATATCGTTCACTTTATCCAAATAGCTTCATATATGATAATATGACGGTGAATCATATCCAATTAAATCGACCGTTTAAATTTTAATAAAAAAGAGATTGTCTGTACTCATATGATATGAACATGTTTCATGGATGTGTTCATTTTTACACATCAAACGTAAGAGTGGCTACTTTAAAACGTGTTTATTAGTCATTTCAAAACCATGTGACATAATTAATATTTATTATGTCGGTTTCTAATTTGAGGTTTACCCGTTACAGGAAACCATACATATTAATCTACGTGTCGTTCCTATATAGAGATTCATAGGCGTACGGGTCTGAACCCCTGTTTGGGGTAGGGCTGGGTCGGGTTGGTTTGCCGAAAATTTTTAATGGTTGAGATGTCTGGCGAAGCATGATTCTGATCACGGAAGGCGCCAATCTGCGAAACACTGCTTGTCTATACCTGAGGTTTTTTCGGTCGCTGTCTCCTACGCCTATGTAGAGATCCTATTCTGGTAAAAGGTCGGGTGTGTTGTTTCATATTGGGAATTAATTATCGTCTAATTAATGATAAGGAGGCAAACATTTGCTGGTAATCATGTTTAACCTGTATACTTTGCTTCTGAATATGACTGAATGTATGTAAATGTTTAATCCACTAACAGGTTATAGTGTTTGGAAATTTAATGGTTATAATCTGGATAAAAACTACCCTGCTAAGTTCGATATTAGGAGATTCCCCGAAATGCCAATAGGGGTCTTCTCTGTGTACGAGGATTCGGAAATTACCATTTTTATGTATGGGGTAAGTATTAAGTGTACAACGTTTTAAAAACTTAAAGGAGGTGGATGCAAAAAGAATCGAGTTATCATGGATCATTCCAAGAGTTAAAAAGGGGAACCATGTAATCGTATGTGTACCTTGACAAGACGTGCTGTCATCTTGTGCCATTAATAATAACCAATATGCGACTAGAGAACTGAAACGAGACGAAATTGTCCAACTATAAACGTCCTTATATGCACTTTTACCCTATTCACATTCATACAAAATGCTTGGAAATCCTTTACTAGCTTTCCACCATCTTCACACTGTAAAGCTATTACGAACTTCGTATTTAAACCTCGTCTGCAACATCACGTAAGTTTTTAAAGCAGCTATTTGATTGGATTGTACGCTAGTGAATACAACCAATCAGAGCCTTCGACAGAATGTAAACAATTTTGCTGCGCGTGTCAACATTCAAATAGCTGCATTTACAAACGTCTTTAACACCAGAAAGGTGGTTATTGCAGTCAAGGTATAAGTACACGGTTCGTAATAGCTTGCCATTGAAAAATATACAAGAAAGGTGGCTGTTGCAGCCAAAGTATAAGGAGACGGTTCGTAATAGCTTGACGTTATGAAGATACAAGAAAGGTGGTTATTGCAGTCTATGGTATAAGACGCAGTTCGTAATAGTGAAGACTAACATCAACAACTCTGTTTATTATATCCTGTATTTTTCAGTTGACATCCTTCTGGAGATGGGATCCAACTCAGACATATGATATGGTTTATCGATATGTGAATTCTAAGTCTTATTGGACTAAAGATTTATCTAGCTATGATCTAGTGACCACGTGGAACAATGGAGATATTTTTTTGATTAATACAGATAGGTTAGTTGACCTAGTTAATGAAATGCACGTGCTTATATCACCAAGAAGATGTATGAGCTATTATTGCTAAGAGAAGTGGTTTTCTAAACTTATTTATGTATATCAAGGACACTTAGAGAATAAGTTTGCACCATTCCAATTATCAGTCTGACTGTTTCTCAAAAGCTGTTAATAATATCCAAGTTAGAAAACCTCTTTATAGACATTTAATACCAAATGTGGTACAGTACTGTGGCACTTACCATAAGGGTGAAATATCTCAAATAAAGGTACGGAAAGCCCTTGTAATGTACCTTTTGATTTTCATATAAACTTACATTATTTCAGCCATACCAAGCTGCAGGGTAGGAAAGAGGTCAAAGGTTATCCTAAGGAGGGTATACCACTATGGTTGCAAGCTGGATGTCGGAATGGGTAGGTTTTATTTTATATTTCGTCTTTTTATGTTTTTAGTTGAAAAAACAAATTTAACTTACCTGCATGTTGTACATAAATAGAATATTTTAATTATTTTATATTTTTTTCAGGTCGTCTAAACAGTCTGTGACGAATATATCGCTGTTTTTATTAGTTTTAGTGACATCATACTTGTCCATAAGACGTCATTAGTGTGATGACGTAACTTATAACCATGGTGCTTTCAAACATTTTGTTTTTTAAAATTGAAAAAAGTGTAGAGAAAACTGGATGTACATGTACATCAAACTCATTATTCAAATCATGAATACTAAGGGTCTACCACCATAATCTATATTATAAACAACAGGAGAGATAACTCAAGAGAAATAGTATAGAAGACCGAAATACATCCAATCAATTATCAAAATCCATGTTATTCCTTATTGTGATCACGTGCGGGATCATGCAATTGAAACCTTGTCTTGGGACCTACGTGAGATTTTACGCAAGATTCGTGTCGGCGACAAAAATGGGCTACCAAGATTGTTCGTGTACCCGCACACGTATGGTATATAATATTTAAACGTCAGGGGAGTTAACTCAAGAAGAATAATACAGATTAACCTGACAACATTTATCACAGAAGGCCAATGCTTTACAAATGTGTTCTTATAGTCTTTCTTTGATTAGGAATTAATAATTCAATGGTGATATTCAAAAGACGCCAAAAGACATTGAATTCGGACTTTAGTGAAACGTTCAATTCCTGATTCAAATTGTTAGCATACTACAAAAATGAGTGTTCATCAAGCCGTTGACAAATTTCCACAAAGTGCCATAAAATTTGCCATAATAATTTCAACCAGATTTATTCAGCAATTAGTGTTCTGAAGTCAGATTCTGGAGATCTTAATTATAGATGATGTTTGTGTTCTGTCATCTGATTGGTCAATCACAAAGATTGGTTATTAACCAATCAGATTGATGTTGTTTGTCAAATTTCTTTGAAGAAACTTGCCCATGATGTTCTGTGTACATTGTTTGTATAAACGTGTATATCTCGTAGATGCATATATACAATAATTGTCTAGTGGCATAGTAGTAGGCCTTGAAGAGAGGTGGGGGTGTGCGTGGTGACGCAAGTCCTCAGACAGCCCAGTCTCCGAAATCTAAATTGAAAGCGTACTACTACCCAGTTTGTTGGGTTGATTTGTACTCCCTCACTCTCCCTTCATTTTCTACTTCTAAGCTAATAGTAGTAATAGCAAATAGTCAAACTAAACTTGAGAAATCCAATTACTAGACGTTGTAATCAAATCTCTTACTGATACAATATAATACATACATTGTTATTTATATACTTATATTGTTTACAATTTGAACAAACGTGAGACTATGAGCTATTGAACAAACAGATGTGTAAATACACACACATAATATGTATGAACGTTTTTGAATGATGAATATGCGTAAATGTGTATGAATGAATGAATGAGGTATGGGCGTTTATGAATGAATGAATGAATGAATGAGGTTTGTGTGATTGTGTATGAACGTGTATGAACGTTATCTTATGATATTCACCAAACACTTATTAATGCCTCCTTTCTCCTCCATATTAGTGCTTCAAGATTAGTGTATCATGCTCACTTTAGTTCTTAGTTAATCTGTGATGTTTTTAACTGCTCAGAGACCAAAACACCGTTTCATTCACTTGAATAGTATTATGTTACTGACTGCCAAACCAGCCTGAGGGCACCGACTGGCTTCGATATTAATAATTTGATTAATCTTCCCTCAAAACCGTGTGCTTTAGTGGGTCTTAAACAGAGCC